CCGAACACCCTAAGCTTGGAATAGTCCACCGGCTTCTCAGACCATACCTCTTCTGCACTCTTAAAACCGAGAACTGTAGATGGTGATCTGTTAATCAAATAACTTGCATGATTAACAGCCTCTGCCCAAAAACTATCAGGCAATCCTGCATGAAATCGCATGCTCCTCTCTCTCTCTCTCTCTCTCTCTCTCTCTCCATGAGAGTTCTGTTCATCCTCTCAGCAGCTCCATTTTGTTGGGGATTCTTCTTTACTGTGAAGTGCCTTATGATGCCTTCCTGCTTGCAGTAATCGGTAAACTCATTACTTGTATATTCACCTCCATTGTCACTTCTCAGGTACTTGATTTTTCTTCCAGTTTGATTCTCGGTTTCTATTTTCCATTCCTTGAACTTTGAAAAAACCTTGGATTTCTGCTTCATGAAATAAACCCAAACCTTCCTAGAAAAATCATCCATGAAAGTAACAAAATAACTGGCTCCACCATTTGATTTGGTTGGTGCAGGGCCCCAAACATCTGAGTGAATATAGCTGAGTTGCTCCTTGCTTTGGTTATCTGCACTGCTACTCGCGAATGATACCTTCCTTTGCTTTCCAAGAACACAATATTCACAAAAGTCCAGTTTGCAAGATGACACGCCTTCCAACAGGCCTTGCTTGTGTAATTCTTGCAACCCTTTCTGGCTTATGTGCCCGAGCCTATGATGCCAGAGTTCAGTCTTGTCTTCTATACCTTGATTTACAGAAACAGCTGCTCCCCCGACTATAGTGGTCCCAATTAACTTATATAGCTTATTGGGTTGTAGGTCACCCCGCATTACCACCAGTGATCCTTTGGCTACCCTGAGTATTCCCTTTTTAGACTCGTACCCATAGCCGACCTCATCTAAAGTACCCAAGGAAATCAAATTCTTTCTTAGTCTAGGGACATACCTAACGTTCCCCAAAGCTCGTATCATCCTATCAAACATTCTGATTCGAACAGTGCTGATTCCTTTTACAGGACATGCAGAATCATCTCCCATTAAAACTTCCCCACTGCTGACTTCTTTGTAAGTATCAAACCATTCTCTTACTGCACACATATGAAAAGTGCATCCAGTATCCAAAATCCAATTTGTGAAAGCCTTGGAGCCTGATGTTACTGAAAGAAGCTCCCTGTCACTCTCATGCTCGGTGACTGCACTAGCTGAACCTGAGCTTCCTTCCATCTTGGATTTCTTCTCTTTCCAAATCTTGCAATTCCTCTTCCAATCATCGGCTGAACCACATACGAAGCAACCTTCCTTCTTTTCCTTTTTATTCTTGGATTTTGACCTACCTCTGTTGCTTGTTTTCTCTTCCTTGGTCTTTTCCCGCCCTCTCTCCGTGCCTTTGGCATAAAGGCCTTGAGAACTTTCAGTTATATCATCTAGTTTAGCATATGACTGAAGAGCTTGAATTACGTCTTCAAGCTTGAGGGACTCTTTTCCAAACATTAGAGTTGTTCGAAAGTGCTTGAAAGACGAAGGTAGAGCCCTTAGCAAGATGACAGCCATATCATCATCTTTGTAAGTTTCTTCGACCTTTTGAAGATTAGTTATGCAATTCTGGAACCTGCATACGTGATCTTCAATATCACCTCCTTCTTCTAGTCGAAGTCCAAATAGTTCATCCTTTAGAAAAAGTTTATTGGACACGGTTTTGCCCATATAAACATTCTCCAACTTTGTCCATGCTTCATGGGCAGTCATCTTTTCAGTGATGTGCCGAACTGATCTTGTGAGATGGATCTCGATGGAACTCTTGGCCTTCTTGAGAACCTTAGTCCATTCTGCGTCTGTCATGCTTGTCGGCTTCTCACCGTTGAGTTCATCATCCAAATCTTGCTGTATCAGTACGTTCTTCATCATCCTTTGCCAATCCATGAAGTCATCCTTGCCGTCAAAAGGTTTTAACACGGGTCCTAGATCCGCATTCATCTTCCCTTTAGACATCGTAGAACCCCTTGAACCAGGCTCTTGATACCAATTGTTAAATAACTTGCTGCTGGATCTTGTTCTTTAATGTAACCAACGGCAATAGACTAAACCAGCAAATATTTAGAAAACTTAGACACACAAGAATTATACTGGTTCGGTAGAACTTTTGCCTACGTCCAGTTGTGATTTCTCTAGGTAGAGAAATCACTGCTCCTTTGATTAATAATAGAGATTACAAAACTTTTGCAAACCCTAGAACTAATCTCAAAACTTTTGGCTGTCTCTGGCTGTTTTCTCCCTCTCTCAAAATAAGCCTTGCTACACCCTATTTATAGATATAGAGTTGGCTTACATGTCCCAAGGCTGATTGAATTTCTATTCCTAAGTGGATTAGGAAATTACACTTATCCAAAACCAAATAGGCTTCTAGAAATCCAAACCTGAATTGAATAAGGAAAACTGAAATTCTTTCCTAATCCCTCTAGGACAAGAATACCTCTAATTTTCCTAAAGCAATCCTAAACCAACTAGGACATATTTGACGAGCCAAAATCCTAACAGATATTTTATTATAAAAAGAAAGTGGGGCCAATATACCTCTTCACTTTAAAGTGGGCAATATTGTCTTGTTGGGGAGAGTAGGTATATTAAGCCAACCCATTTGTCTCTTCCTTGGAGCATGAAAATGCTGATGTGTCAAGGCAAATGAGGTTTGCCTACTCTTTTGCCTCTTCCCTTGGAGATGCTCTAAGACCAATTATCTCTACACATGAGGTTCTAGGTTTGATTCTCCCTTCCCCCAATATTGTTTGTATTAAATTATAAAAAATTAAAAAAAAAATATTTAAACTGAATATTATAAAAATTCAACTTCATTATGCTTCTAAAATAAGAAAATCTCTAGGAAAGCCAGAATGTGATGAGAGATGAAATGATTCTAAACCCTTGAAATTTTCATAAGAAATTCAAGTGCATTTTGGAAAAGCACATGCCAGGTGCTTCTCCAGAAAACGCTTCTATGACCTAAAAACACTTCTAAATTTCCTTGTCAAAGGCTGTCATAAGCTCTTTTAGTTGTCAAAAAGCAATTTTGACTCTTCCAAAAGCACTTCCAAACATGCTCCTTTGTTACTTCTTATCATTATTAATTAGTAAACAAACACTTTATTCCTATTGGTTCCTAGTCATGTCGTGCCTATTTTAGATCCATTTTGTGCTAAAAAGACAGCTAAAATCAATAAATTTAAAAAGGCAAAAATAAATTAGACGACTATGCAAAACTAAAGTATCAATATTAATTATTTTGGTCAACAGAATTTCATTCTGAGTGTCTTGCATGATGTAATTGTGGCATGAAAGGTGAGAGACAACATTATCACGTGGGAAAGTCTTCCTAGACGAAATAAAAATAAAAAAAAAAAAAAAAAAAAAATCCATTTTTAAATTTGGTAAAATAGGTACAACGACCATTGCAACATAACAAGGTCAAATTTACACAAGAGTAATGCAGCTGGTATTTTCCAAGACCATGTCGTGCCTCCACCTATCTGGTTACCAAACTCAACTATAATTTTTTCTTTTTCATTTGCAAATCCCAATTAAGCTTCAATTTGCATCGTTTCACTCAAAATGTATACCATTCTCTAGGAGAACGGTGAGTGATGAAGATTAACAATGTAATTTAATCTAAACTTGAGCCTTTCTTATCTTTCTTTTTAGATAATACTAAATAGTGGACGGTGGAATGACTAGAAGAAGTCCATCACTAGGAAATTTCCTTGCATTAGTGATAACGAAATTGTAGAGCACCGAATCGTAGCAAAATAGTGTAGTGATAAGTGAGTATCGTTCCGTAGAGATTAAGACTAATTAACTGAGTACTGATTATGATTAATCCTAAACTTTATCTGGATGTTCGAATAGTGAGGCTTTGATTTGAATTACGTAAGTAATTAACACGAATTAACAAACATAAACAATAATAAAATTCGGCAAATATTGATGGTATGAGCACTAGGATTCCGATTTCACCATAACCAATTCTACCCTATTCATGTAGCCAATTAACCATGTTAATGGTAAATTTCCCTTAATTATTCAATATGACATGCCTGTCTATACCAAAAATATTCCTACAACCATCCCACTCTATGCCTAGATGAAGAACTAAGAAGTAGAAACCCATTAAGTTTTATGGAAATTCATGGAAATCACACAAGCCTCGATTAACCTTCCAGTTCACTCAAGTAACCTGTGGTATCAATTACTAGAAGCAAAATCCTAAGTTGGATATTCCTATCGTTAACTCAAGCATCAAATCAATTAAGTGGTGATGAAGCACTCAAAGCATTAAGAATGGTAAAAGATACTCAACATGGAAAATAATATCAAATTAACATAAACTCAAAAATAAGGTATTCATGGCTAGGCTACATTGTAGCCCTAGCAAGAGGAAATTAGAACATAATAAACTTATCGAGAATCACGGAGTGGTTGATGGCAAACATGAGGATGAACTCGAAAACTCCCAAAAAGCTCGAAGGTGGCAGGTGGTAGTAAAACTTGGGTATTTTCGGGTAGTGAAAAAGTATGCCTCCTCTACGAGGCCAGCCCTATGCTATTTATAATATAAAAATCCTTAACCTAGTTACAATCAAATACTACCAAAAATAGGTTTCCCAATATCTCTTTGATTTCTTCTCCAAATTCCACAAGGATTTGACCAAACTTCCTCCTTTAAGCTTTGACTGGTTGCTTGGCTTCTAAGAAACATCTTCTTTGTCTCCAATTAATCCTTGCCGCACATCCTAATAGGTTTTGAGTCCAATTTGACAACTTTTCGTCCAATTCATCTATAGGGATCAACTACAAAATTCTCACAGAATACATTAAACCCAACAATTTAATCCAAGGGAATCAACAAAAAAATCAGTAAAGGAGGCATAAAATATATGTAAAATATGGACTTATCAAATACCCCCAAACCTATTTTTTGCTAGTCCTCGAGCAAAACGAAAAGTAAAAAATTATTAAAAACAAACAACCTAAACTAAACCACTTTTGTAGGTAATCTCGATGGCACTTAGCATGTGCCACAAGCCTTTAAACCTCTAGGTGTCCTTAGTAGGAGGAGTTGTGTCTCCTGAGGGTTTACCAGTCACGGGTCTTTGCAAAAAAAATTCGTTAAAGCGAGTACTTCTAACAAATTAATAATAACCAATGAATGCTAATTGCAATTCCAAAACTAAAGCCATGCCATTACAAATAAAATGCATCAGAGTGTAAAGTGTAAAGTGTAAAGTCAGTACTCCAAGCATTCTAACTTAAAGATAACCACACTCGGCGTGTGTACAAATTCGCCTCGACTCTAGGCCTCACTGGATAACACTCAATTTTCACATAGAACCTAGGATTGCACTCTTACCCCGCATATGTGAATGTAGTTAGGTAAAGAAATCAAAATATAAGACACATATGCATCCAAGATGAATAAAAAGCAATTTCTGGAAATAGATCTCATGGAAAGGAAATCAAATACTAAGAACTTGGATAGAGTATATACCTCCACTTCTAAGCAAGAAGTCCCCAAAGATCCGTTAGGTATTTACTATGGTTGTAATGTAAGGCTAGGTTATGGGTTACGAAAGAAACGATAGGAAATACTAGAACTTGAGACATACCAAGGCATTTATCTCGTTACACGGCTTGGCTCTTCAAATGTACTTCACAAAGGCATCCAGGATTTTTGATATGCTTCACTTTCTTGACTTTAACTTTGAATGCATCTTTTTATTTTTATTTTTATTTTTTTAATAATAAATTTTTATTTTTTTTATTTTAAGAAAATAAACTTTAAGCACATATTTCCTCGGTACACGCCACCTCTTTTGTTGATGTAGAGCTCAACCTTCATCATTGTCTTTACTTGCCATGACATCTTCCAAGCTATAGGGTATGACTAAAAATAAGGTGAAACGGGTAAGGAATAATGTGGGTGATGAAAGAAACGGCTAAGTGTTTGGCTTCAATGGGTTGATGGCACACACAATGGGTAGGACATGAGGCTTATTTAGTGGTTAAAACATGCATAGCCTAACTTCATCTCTTAAGCCTAACTTCATCTCTTAAGGTCCATCCAACTCAAAAGTGAAAGCATTGATGTGATTCCTACCAAGAGATTGTAGTTCTTAGTATCCAATTCAAAAAAAGCTAAATGAGATCAACTAAAACTTGAAAGGAAAGAAATAATGATAGAATTCCCAAACACCCTCAAGGATAGGCAATTTGGCTCAAGAATCTCACAAAGGTAGTCTCCACTATTTCTCCACAATCATCCAAGGATGGCTATCAAGTATGGCAAGGTGAAGTGCAAAAATTTGTGATGCATACAAAAGTGACTTTTAAAAGGCCAACCACGTCAAGGCCCATACAAAAACCGACGTGGTAAGTGGATAAGAAAGTTGACAAATTGGATGCTTGGGACGTAGTAAAGGACCTAACCATGGCTGCCATTTTACATTAACCACCGTTCAAGCTATAATCCACTGCGTTTCTTTTCCTCACGCCGTCAAAATCATTTTTAATGTCTGTGATTAACGACAGGGGTCGTGGTTAGGAATTTTTACGTCGGTTTTCAATAAAGGTATGCCATGTTAAAGGATTCAGACGTCAATGTTTTAAAAAGAAGTTGAAACAACGCAAAATGAGGTCATGGTTCCACCCACTCACATTACCTTTATATGGTCAACACATTAGTCAGGAAGGTACTTGTCACCTCTTGTATGGCAACATTATAATACAAGATACCTTTAAGCCTCTAACACCTCTCGTTTATTTACTTCTTACTCACATCCCTCTATATACAGATAATCGTGTTTTAAAAAGAAGTTGAAACAATACCGTGCGAAGTTCGTATCGTAAATCTAAAAGACATGGTCATGGGACCATTAGGATTCCAATTGTTGAAACTTATGTAAGATGTCTGAATCTCTCTGTAAGTGTTGGCATTGCTTTGTATGAAGCTTCCAGACAGCTAAGTTACGAGCAGCTTCAATTTCCAAATGAAAACTGTATTGATCATGAGCAATCATTTGTCACCGAGGATATTTTTGCCTTATGGATTGTACTAGAATTCATTTACCGTCAACTAGAACTGGAGAGAACATAAATAGAGCATTTGCTAATGTGAATTTTTCAGGACATAGCACTCAATTAAGTTTTAACAGACACAAAAATGAATAAAAAAAACTTTCTTCTTTTTCACCCACTTCATCACCCTACCGTGATACTACTTGAGCTAGAGAGAGAGAGATCATGAGATGTTTCTTTGGGTTTTTTCTATACATATCATATGAGTAAGATTATCGACAGAAATGTTCAAGCACAAATCAGTATGTAATTTAGAGCATTTTATCATTCTTTTTGGGTATGCTTCACAATCTAGCCTTATGAGAAAAACATATTCATCACCATTAGTAAGAGAAAGTAGCACTTTAACACAAAAGCAAATTTCCAAATTTGCAATATCTTCCAGTTCTGACCTCTGCTCGGTTTTTGAC